GCATACATTTTTAATCTCTTCAGTTCTGTAATAGTTCTTCAAAGTCCTGCTGTAAAACCTGGAGCCAAACTGATGTTCTTCACCCAGCACTAACACTCTGCACATGTGTGCTCTGCATGGATATATCAGATGTATGCACCCCTTCCTCCAAGGAACCCACATGAACTTCAGGCAGGTCACAGCCACAAATACTGTAGAAGATAGAGGATGTCTCCCTGTTTCACAGGTGAGTGAAACAAGGCAGAGAGGCACTAAGCCCCACTGCTAACACCCTACAACATGGCTGGGGCAGAGCCAGGAACAGACCTCTGAGATCTTTAGCTTTCTTGGCTGCACTGAGCCATATCACTTGGTACAGTACAGGGTGAGGTGAAGGCAAGAATGTGTGGGGGAAGCTCCCAGACAACAGAATTGATTCCTTTATGCTCTGTGTGGATGTACAAGCTCAGGCAGAATTGAGTACAGTACACAGACTGCCCTAAATTACATTGACTTGCCACAGGTGTCTCTGCATGGTGTTCCTGCTCTCTGAACAAGAGCTGGCACAGAATATACTAACCAGTCACTGCTTCATTCTGTCATTATAGGTGTTCCTGTAGGAGAGCAGGAGGGGGAAAATGACTAGATAACCCAGCTCAGAGGCTGCTGACAGCTGGGAAAACCAGCATCTTTCTAGCCTGTTTTACCTCTGAAGCAATGCAAAGGGGCTGGTGCAAGATAAAACATCCAGAGCCCTTTTCTCAGGCCTCCAGCCATCCCAGAATCATGCCGTGTCTGTGACAGTCACAACGCAGACAGTTCCCAGCATGTAATTCAGTGCTGTGCTTCCTTTTGAGTCTTCTGTGGTAAAATACTAGCCTGTTTTATTCTCCATCACACTGGCATAAGCATGAACATAAAGTAAATCTGCTGACTGTAGAATTACTCTGTGTTCATCCAATTCTTTCTATATTTTACATGATTGAAAGATTCAGCTCACTGGTGAGGAAATGCTGTAAAATACTGGCTTCCACTGCAAGGATGCTGATGGTCTTTCTGATACTGAACTGGATGAGCAGTGACAGTTTGGACAACTCATCTTTGAAACACACTGAAGGCTGTCTTGTCCACCCAGTTCAAAACATGACAGAGAGTAATAATTTAAAAAATGAAGCTTATAATAAAAGAAGAATGGAAGGAGGAGGGTACTTTAGAGTAGTAGTTGTTTTGTTATTAGATTGTTATGAATTTGTCTGTTTCTTTCTTTTTACAATTGGATTGATTGTGGTTCATTCTGTCCTGTTCATTCTTTGTCCTGTTCAGAGCCCACACCGTATCAATTGAGTGCCTCCAAGGATTTAAGTGAATAGGATGACCAGTATCTATCATGCAGCTGTACTCCCCTCTCCATGGAAGGAGGTATTTCTGCAGGACAGGACCTCACTTTGGTAAGGTATTTTGGTTTGGTTTTTTTTTCCATTGTTATTGAGGTTTGGATTGGGGAAGGTGGTTTTTTTGCCTGGAGAAGAGAAGCTGCATGGAGACCTCGTGGCAGCCTTCCAGTATCTGAAGGGGGCCTACAGGGGTGTTGGGGAGGTACTCTTCATTAGGGGCTTTAATGATCGGACAAGGGGAAATAGGTTAAACCTTAAAAGGGGGAAATTTAAGTTAGATATAATGAAGAAATTCCCTACTGTTAGAGTGGTGAGACACTAGCACAGGCTGCCAAAGGAAGCTGTGAATGCTCCATCCCTGGAGGTGTTTAAGGCCAGGTTGGACAGCACGTGGAGGAACCTGGTCTAGTGGAAGGTGTCCCTGCCCATGGCAGGGGGTTGTAACTGGATGAGCTTTAAAGTCCCTTCCAACTCAAACCATTCTATGATTCTTTAAATTAATACATGTCTCTCTCAGTTTTCCCTAAAGAAAACAGGTCAGGGGAAGGAATATACCAAGCACTTAGAACACATCTCTATTGCCAAGCCCCAGGCCCTCACGATGTGAGCATCATCTTCATCTTCACACTCTGGTGACTTTTAGGATGCTATCCAAAGGCTCAGCATGGCAAGCCTCAAGATGTGGACACAGACCTTGACTCCAGAGGAAGAGGGTGTATAAAGTAGCAAAGGACAGTTCTGCCTGTGTTTGAGAGGGTCACCAGCACCATACAGGTCTGCCAGGGCCGCCCTAGCTGTGGAGGGCTCTGTCCAGGAGAAGGTTTTAGCAATACTGAAAGCAAAACGTTAGGTAGGGTCACAGCAGAGGCTGAAAGGAGTAAAATAGCCTTGGCTGTACTGCCTGCTTTTCCTATCCAGCATTTGCTTCCTGCGCAGCTGGTCCCCACTCCTGCCCAATAGCCCTCTCATCCAGCTCCTGCTGCAAGAGCCACCCCTCCCACCAGCAGCCAAACCTCCTTTCCAACACATACCCACACACAGCAGGGCCTGTGCTGCTGCCCCTGCAAACAGCCACCACCCCACAGCTGTGATAGCTCTTTCCCCAAATGCTTACAGCCTGTGGGTCAGTTGGAGATGTTACACAGTAAGGACAGGTCCGTGCCCTTCTGTAAGTGTGTCCTTGCTTGATTTCAGGATTAAATACATGCTGCAGTGAATGGGTATATGCCCTTCCTACATGAAAGATCTTTTTCATTTTAATGGCCCCACTGTCTAGCATAAGAACAAGTTCCCACACAGAAGCTGGCCAGATCAGCTGTTTGCCTTAACCAAGCCTGTCTTCAGCATCCTCAAGCACTGCGATGATTTTCTTTGGAAGAAGGACATATAAATTCAAATGAAGAACATGGCTTAAGGAGAAGCAAGATCTTTTAAGACCCAACATTGGACTTCCACTTGAAGAATGTGCACTGAGATTGCAAGTGAGTCAGGGTGGAACCATCTTTTTGTTCTCTTTGAACAGCACCTAATGCAACAGTGCCAAAGCCATGGAGAAGGCTTCTTGGCAGCACCAAGCAACTACAGCAGAACTGGTGCCTGGCGACCTCCGTCTGTGTCTGTGAAAGAAACTTTTCTTCTTTCTTGCCTCCATCCTTGTCCCTGGATTGGACAAGCAACCTGTTTCCATGCTTTCCATTTAGGCTAACCTCAGACATGTGGTTTCCACTTGATTGAAAACAAGTGTGCTGGAAGCTGTCTGCTTTTTCTTCACTCTATGAGGTGGACTGCTGCCTGGCTCCAGTCTGGAAACAATTATTTCCCTCTTGTACCTACCCATTATGAAAAGTCAAAGGCTTATCCCTGGACTTTTTCCCCTTTCCACATTTATTAGGTGCTTCTTTCATAAAGAAAAGCTTGTAATTGCATATAATGCCCACAGAACAGCTCTAGATCTAGATGTCACATGTTTCAGCTGCATGACTAAAATGCTGCTGTGTTTTAAGGCCAGGTTTCCCTTAGGGAGTTTTGTATCAGTCACTGTGCCACAGGGAATTCACCACTGGTGATAGGGTAGGATGGATGTCTGATGGTGCTTGACTATGTGGGACTTTAAGAAAGGGCTTTAAGCACTCATTGTGGTTACACTGGTGTAAATACTCTTAACCCCAAAGGCTGGTCAAAACATCCACACACAGATACGTGCAGTGCTTGCAAGCCTGTGCAGAGGCTGTTAGCGTAGCACAGTGCAGCTGTTTTACAAAAAGGAGATACCTGCCTTTTTGTACTCTGGATTTATTAGTTCTTCCAAACGTTCCCACTTTTTGGTGTGTGTCTGCAGACACGAGGGAATGGGAGCAACAGATGACCAGAAACTGCAGATATTTGCACACAGGGGGAAGCTTGTGCCCATGAATAGTGCCATTATACTCAGCACTTTGCTGAGAAAGATTGATCACATACTTTATTTAATGAAAGACTAGTTAGTTCCTGACTGAGCACAGACACTGAGGAAACGGGTTGGAGTGGAAAGAGTCTAAAAATCCCTGTTCCTGCACTGAATTCAAAATAGCATTTCTTTTACTGGAAAAACAAACATAAGCTCATTTTGGGTGTCTCTGTCTGTCTGCCTGTGGGATTGGCAATCCACACCTTCTGCAGATCCGGAGATCTGCCCCTGTTTATGTTCTAGAGGTTATGTCTTAATTACATCTATCTTAATTACAAGGAGCCAATCTGCTGTGACATCAGTTCCCCTCTCTAGGGGAAATTCCTAACTGGGAAATCCTAGCAGATACAAATTTCTGCTGTTCTTTTCTTCCCCTCTCCCTCCCCCTTGGCCATTGCAGACCAACCCCAAAACTGCATCTGGGCTTGACCTTGAAGGCTCCTTTGAGAGCGAATGGCAGTGCCTGCTCTCCCGAAGTGCTGACGTACAGACAACTGTTTCCAATGAGCTATCTTCATACAGAAATCATGTTGTACCACAGCCAAGGCCCTGCTCCCTCTGCCAAGCGGTACCCGTGCCTGGGGGCCTCGGGAGCTCAGGAAGAGCTGTCTGTGGCCTACCAAGGGCAGTGGCCAGCACAGGTTAGCTACGGCCCTGCCTAAACCTGGAGCAACGCAACGGCGAGAGGATGTGCCTACAACCGAGAGGATGTGCCTACAGCGCTGGTGTTTGGCGTCTGGAGCTGTGGGGGTCATCTCACTGCCACGGTACGCGGTCACCCGAAGCCGTGCCGCCGGGCAGGGGGTGCTTTGCACCAGCCTGGCTCGGGTGCGGATTCCCAAGTGCTGAAGAGCAGCAGGTCGAGGGGGACGGTGGCTGTGCCTGGGGAGGGGGATCCGCGCCGAAGGGCTGTGCTGCTCCGTGCCTTCGGGCTGCGCTCCTGCGGCCGCGGCGGCCGCTAGCTCCGCGTTCCGGGGATGCGCGTGGAGCGGGATGCCACGGCTGGATGCGAGAAGGGGGAAGCTGGGGGGATACCCCCACCCCGGGACCGGCCGGCGCTGGAAAACAGCTTCGTGTGTCTTTAACCCACAGCGGCCAGCACGCGGCGGCGGTGTGTTTTTTTTTTTCCTCTCGTAGTTAACAATGGAAACTTTTTTTTTTTCTCAGTATTTCCCTGCAGCCGAGCGAGCAGAGAGAGAGAAAAAAAAAAGAAACTTGTTCCGCTGAGTTCAACCCCAGACAGGCTCACAACTTCCTTCCTGCTCTCCTACCCCCTCCCTCCGCTCTCCTCCTCCTCGCCTCTCCTCTCCTTCTCCTCCTTCTCCTCCTCCTCCTCCTCCTCCACCTCCTCTCTCCGCCTTTCCAGCCGCACAGGGAGCGGGCACCGGGGCCGCGGCGCGGACCTGGCCGGAGCGCGGAGCCACCCGCGCAGTCTCCGCAGCCGAAGCGCGAAGCGGGGGGAACCCGGCGTCCCCCGGCCCGTTCGCTGCCGCGCAAGGGGGAGGAAGCCCGGCTGGACCCGCGGAACGAGTCCCGCGCCCGCGGAGATGGGTCCCGCTGCGCCCCGCGGCCGGCGGCGGCACTGAGGGAGGCGCGGATCCTGCCCCCAGGTAAGCGACGGGGGACACACACACGGGACGGGGACGTGGCCGACCCCTCGGCCGGGGCACCCTCGAGCTGCCGCCCCGGGGAGGAAGGGACGAGGTGGGGCCCTGGCGGAGGGGCAGGGGGGTGCCCCGGGGCCGAGCGGGCTGTCCCGCACCCGGTATATGGCTGAGGAGCTTGTGCTGGTGCTCGCTTAGCTGAGAGCGTTGCAGTGCCGGGGATCCCTGCAGAGAGTGGGTGTCCGCGCTGCCCGGGCTCTGCTGAGCCGCACGCTGCCTCCCAGCAGTGCCTGGAGGGATGGGGAGCCTTTAGTCACTGCGGACTGTGCTTGGACCTGTGGGCATTTACCTGCAAGGAGGCACAATGGGAGGCACAGGGGTACCCCTGACAGCATCACACACATGTGCTGCCAGAGACGTGTACACCCATAGCCAGAGTTAGCACACGTGTGTAAACATGCCTGCACACTCATGTAGCCAGCGTGTTTGTGTACATCTTGTGAGTTCCCATGCCCCAGCATGGGATGGGGATTGCAGCTCCAGTGGCACATGGAGCAGACGGGCATGAAGGAAGGTATACTGAAGTGCAGAGGGCACAGCGAGCCACCTACAGAAGTCAAGTCTCTCACACGCTTACGCACACAAAACAGAGCAGACACCACCACACATCTCTTTGTGGGGTCTGGCTGTGACTTAGAGGCGTGTGCAGTAAAGGCAGATGAGCACAGGGGAGGCATGTATAGACAGGGAATGCGTGAAGATATGCAAAGCCGTGTGTGTTGTTGCACATGGTAGGTTATGGCAGTGGTGGAGACGTGGTCCCACACCACAGAAAACTGCAAGCAGTGTGTCACTGAACAGAAATCCATGCTGGAGACTTGATCTCGGTCATAGGGGACAAACCAGAAGGTGGCAAATTGGAGCTGTTTGGAGTATTTCCCTTCTTTCAGCTCACACCAGTTGACCATAACTCCCAAATTCTGTTGCGGGAACAGCTGCTGACTGTATGTCCTCTCAGACACTGGTGCTGCAGCTGCCTCCGCTGGCAGGGAAGGCAGGAAAAGGGGGAAACAGCCCCAGACTTGATTTCCCCTTGGCTCAGACCCTTGTGATGACCAGGCTGGGCCATGTTCCCAGGGGTGGCACACTGGGGATGCAGGAAGGTGTGTGCAGGGATAGGAGGAGGCACTCAGGAAGGGAAGAGTCTGGCCAGCTGTGTTGCACAGCTGGAGGGTGAGCTTAAGGGGGAGTGCAGAGCTATTCTCACCACTTGCCTCTTTCTCCTTCTCCAGCCATCGCATTTTATGGAGCTGCAGGCCAGGGCCAGCCCAGCTCCCTTGCTTCTTCCCAGTGATGCTGCTGGTCCCAGTGTGGAGAGACCCTGGGCAGCCCCGCGGAGCCTGAGTGCCGAGGAGGCAGCGGCAGCGGCCCCCCTGTGCGCCCCGGCTGACTACTATGGCTGTGTACTGCTATGCACTCAATAGCTTGGTGATGATGAATAGCAACAGCCAGGTGACGAGCAGCAGGAGCAAGACGCCGCCTCCTCCAGGACAAGTGCTGCCCAGGGGCCTGGAGACACCCGGCAGCTGCTGTCCACTCCCTGTCTTCAGCCCGGCCCCTGTGCTACCCCGCTCCCCACGCCGTGGCCCCGCTTTCCTCTTCCCACCCCTTGAAGAGCCTGTGCAGCCGCCGGGCAGCCCCAGGGGACGGCGTGGCAGCCGGGGCGAGGAGGGGCAGCCAGGACCCCCCATGGCACGGCAACTTCAGCGGGAGCTGCACAATGTTCAAGTGAACCAGAAAGTGGGGCTCTTTGAGGCACAAATCCAAGCGCACAGCTCTGCTGCCCAGCCGCCACGAAGCCCACAGCCAGCTCGATCCCGACCTGCCAGCCCCACGGTGCCAATGGTGGGACTTGGAAGTGGATCCCAGGCACAAGCTTATGAGAAAAGTGAGGCCCCTGATGTTGGTGGGGTGCAAGTCTGGCCAAGCGCTGCAGAGCCCTCGGGGAGTTCAGTGGTGATGGTGGTTCCGACTGTAGGGCTGGCGGTGGGCAACAGCCCCCTGGGGCCATCAGGGTCTGCACCACAGCAAGATGAGGTGGTGGTGGCCCCTACAGGACATGAGGGCCAGTGCCCAGCCATCAGCGGGAGCATCCCCGCTGTCATTGTCACGGACCTGGGGGGCCCGGAGGAGGAGGCGGGCGCCGTGCCCCCCAGCAGCCTGCCCGTCCGGAAGCTGTCGTCGTCCTCAGCCTCTTCCACAGGCTTCTCCTCATCCTGGGAGGAGTCCGAGGAGGACATCTCCAGCGACCCTGAGCGCACCCTGGACCAGACACCAGCCTTCCTGCAGACCCTGGACCAGCAGAAGCCCCGAGTGGTGAGTCTTGCACCAGCACTGGGGAGGTGGGGCGAGGGCTGACAGCATTATTGCTCGTAAGGCATTGCTGCAGAGGGAGGGCAGAGGTCTGTCAAAGCAGAGGTCTGCAGAGAAACTTTCCGTTTGCTTAGCAGCATTTGCTTTCCCTTACATGAAAAACTGATCCCTGTTCCCAGTCTGAAAATCCCCTGCATGCAGGAGAGAGGATCAGGACCCATCCCACTGTTCACGGTCCTTGCAAGGCTTCCCTGGTGCTGCACGCTGCCTGCTGGTGTGCTTAATATACACCCAGTAATGCAGCCTTCTGCTGACATGTGGTTAGGAGCCTCAGCTTTTCCTCAGCACAGCTTCCCTGGGTGCTGGAGGTTTCCCATGATTTACATGAGCCTAAGGGAGAATATATTTCCTCCTCGGAGTCAAAATCGTGTGGGCCAACTGTCTGTTGAAGTTTATTCTGATGCCCATCACCATAGTGTCTGTGTGCCTTTCACATGGAAGCAAAAATCACTAGAATTTCTGGTAATTCCCCTTTTGAAGAACACCTTTTGCTTGTGGGGTATGTTATATTTTAGGTAAGCATATTTTTATTTGGTATTTACATTAAGTTCCTTTGTTTCTGGATCTTTGTGGTGGGGCTGGCTGGGAGGCGTCAGGTGAGAGAAAGCAGCAGTGCTGTATCACCCAGGGCTTTGATGTGCTTCCCAAAGGCAGACACTCCTAGGATTTCTTGTGTCACCTGGGCAGTTTATTCCACTTCTGAATGCTCTGCACAGAGCATGCTCTGCCCCATTTATCCAGAGGGCTTTGAACCACTGTGCCCCACTGCAGGCTGCGCATCACCAGGCTCTCCCCCCAGCACATGGGCTCTCCCATCCCCTGGCTGTGAGATGTTACGTTAATTTGAGCTCAGCTGTGGAGCCTCACACTGACAGCCCCTGAAAAATGCAGGACAACCCACTGGTTCCTTAATTTTGGAGTCTGATAAAGGCCCAGCAACTTTCAGTGGTGTGCTTCAATATGTTTAACTTCCCACAGACACATGACAGTGAAACTCTTGCTAAGGTCAGTGACATGAGGAAGACCAGAGCAGGGAAACATCTAAGTGAAGGTATCCAACTTGTGAAGGACTGACTGTGGTTTGTAAAACACACAGCAGGCTGAATTACATATTTTTGCTTTCCTACTTGTTTTGTCGTGTTCCAAGATCTCAGCCCTGCTCAGGATGGAGAAGCAGTCGAGTAAAAGCACACTTAATGAAGTTACAAGCCTGTGGCTCATCGTCTCTGCAGACAGTTTTGTATCTTGGGGCTCTTGACTGATGAATCAGCTTGCTCCCTTTGGGAGCTGCTACAATCACTCTGCTGATTAAATTCTGCTGGTTTTGTGTGCATGAGCTGTAGTAATCTCTGCTCTATTCTCCATACTAATGACTGTTCCTACTGCCAGATCCCACTCACTGATTTGCTGCTGAAAACAGTTCGCTGATGGGCAAAATCATGCCTGACACTCTTGTGGAAAGCTTCCTGAAGCCTCAAGCTGACTCTGCACAGCCTCCCATGGCCCCCAGTGAGCTCAGCCAGGCTGTTGGCTCGGCAGTGAACAGGCAAGGCTTGTTTTTATTGTCCAGAGGCCTGGATCAGAGCTAGCTCAGATCAGGTCTAAGATCTCCTGGGCTCAGTGGGATTACTCCAAGCTAGACGAGATGAAGATGTGGTCAAAATATGTTAGGCAGCCTAAGGAGGTGCACTTGGTTTTGTGTTTCAGTGCTGGAGTCCTCTCAGCAGGAGCAGCTGGGCTCATTTACAGTGATACTTTCTGCTGGGCTCCACAGGTCCCATGCAGGGCTGATCACTGCCTTTGGCAGGTTATAGTGAACTTCTCAGCAGGATTGTGTGCCAGTGCCCAGTAATTCAAAGCTGATTCATATACATAACACCCAACTTTGTGTACCGGTTGGCAGCATCTTCTAAATCCATAAAGACAGCAGAAGGCAGCTACTGAAGCAGTCTCAGGTTGCACACTCATTTGTTTTCATGAGCTCTTTGTTTCCTTTTAACAACGCACAGGGTCTGGAAATGAGTTGTGTAATGAGGGAGAATGTGTGAGAAGCTCTCTCTGCAACTCATATTTTTCCATCAAAATAGATCCTGGGAGACCTCAACTGACAGAAACCAACATCATGGCTGGGTTGAGTAGATAAACGCTTGGCGGGTAGAGAGCCCTGCCTCTCTGCACTGGGTGGTGCTGGCACAGGGGATGGCTGTCGTACCTGGAGGAGACGTAATGACAAGCGGCAGGAAGGCAGTTCTTGCTGCAGATATGGTCTGTGCTGCATATCTCATATAGCATGCTTACAGGTTTGATAAACAGCAGGCTGGCTTCTGCCCTTCCTTTCTGGAGGCCGTCTGGCTAAGCAAATCTGTTAGGGATGTCCGGCTGTCTATTGTAGTTCCTTCTGGCATCCCCGGGAAGCGGGCAGATCCCTCCGGCTGGCATGGACTCATCCTCCATTTGTTCTGCAGGTAGTAAACTTCACTTGTGGTTGGGCTTGCAAATTGGCCAGTTAGAAAATGATGTTGCCTAGCAAAAGGGAGGGAGGTTTTGTGGCCAGTTTTTTTGGACACCGTGACCTGGACCAGCTCTGTGGCTGATACGGGCTCTGCCTTTGTTTATTGAAATGGTTTACTCAGTGCATTGCCTGTCCCTGGAGTGCATTAGTGCCCAGTGGACTGTGCAGCACTGGGAAACGGTGACCCTGCCATGATTACAGCAGGCTTGTGAAGTGCAGTGACAGTAAGAGCAATCTGACATTTTGCTGTTGTCTAATTGCAAATCCACTTAAGGTCTGAGTAAACCTCCATGTAAGGCCTTTTGCAGGTGTGGCTTTCCCCCGGCTGTGGGCTGCTGCTGGAGAAACCCCACACTTGTTTATTGACGCTTGCAAGGTTTCAAAGACACTTGAGCCCATGACACTTCTCAGGCTGTGTGGGAGGGGTGGCCTGTCCAGGCAGAACATTGGGATGGGACATTGTGGTTTGACAGTGCTGCCAAGCAGCGCTCACTGCATGCCCCCTGTGACAGAGACACGGGCAGTTTGGGGAAGAAGCGAGTGTCTCCACTCACCCACCTCCCAAGCCATGAACAAGTGGCTGTTGGGAGATGCCTCTCTCCATCTTGGCACATCTCATGCCGAGGGAAGACTTCTCCCCTCCTGCTGGTCACACAGGTTGGGTATATAGGGGAGTGAGAAGGTGCTACCTTGTCTTAGGCTCCAAGTGGTGCAGGTAGCCCGAGGCAGCAGCCCTGCTACTAAAGGGGGATTTACAACCTAAATAAGCCCCGTTCTAGCTGTGACTCCCATTGACTTCAGTGGGAAAATACAAGTCTATGAGTTTTGCTGTGCCTGGGGAACCCTGTTTGCTCCTTCCAAGGGAGAGCTGATAGAGCAAGGTGTACTTAGCAGCGGGAGGCTTGGCTTGGAAGCTGGCTGTGCCCCTTAAGCAAAAGATATTCCAATGCTGGTCATTACAATGAGTTGTTCTCATCCTAAATCCCGTGGTTTGTCAACTCCTCAGCAGCTACAGACAAAGCAACAGGCACGTGGGGGAAAGGCAGAAATTGTGCAAGTGTGTACTATAGAAAAATGACATGTCAAGAGGAAAAAAAGCCACACTTCTGGAAAAACAGTGCAAGACAGTGCAGTGTTCCTCTTCCTGGCTTTCCCACAGCCGCTGTGGAAACACAAGGACATACGACAGAATAGTAATCAGGCGACTCTGGGTACATTGTGAAACCTCTGCTGCTTTCAACAGGCAGAGCAGCTTGCTCAGAGTAAGAGGCTTCCATTAACCTGTGCAAAATGGCAAGAGCCTTTGGAAAAAGCTAATGGCGTTGCTGCTGACAGGCGTTTTTTTTAATTGATTTATTTGTTTGACTCACAATGGCTGTAACGCATTTCTGAAAGGAGCCGAGTTCAAAAGGGGTTAGTGTCAGCCAAGGGCCTGTGGGACCCTTGCTTGTTTCTCTTTGACATGATCCAAGGCATAAGCTGACAACAGTGCTCCTGATTTGTTCCTATAAAAATCAGTCAAATGAAATACACTTTCATTCCCTTTCCTAGCTGTCACCGTGATCAGGAAGTCTCTGTAATAGAAACCCTGACCACATGGCTATGGTGATGCATGCAAGCCCCGTGAATGTATATCTTTATGCTGACTGTGTTTATGTAGTTTACTCCTTCCTCCCACCGTATTTGTCTTAAAAGCTACTAAGCTTATGAGCTTGTGAGTGGTACCACCAAATTAGTATCAGTATAATGTCTAGCGCATTAGGGCCCTGCTTGCTCCCTCTGAAGAGCAACTATTACTCTACTAATGCATATCATTGATCAGGAAAGGTGCTTAGCACACGGGGTAAGCTGCCAGAGGATGGAGCCTCCTTCAGCCCTACCGTGGGAAGACTATGGGGAAGAGGAGAATGAGGTGAATACCCCTGTGTTTCCACTGTCAGAGCACCACACTCAGCAGACTGACAGAACAGTGTCTTTTGTCTGCTGGGATGAGATCAAGAGCCCCTGGTGCCCAAAGGGCTGGGCAGAGCTTCAGGCTTCTTGCAGATGGAGGCTGAGCACTCCAGGGAGTTCACAAAGCACCACTCTCTATTTGGTAGCATATCTCCTACCTACTCATGTGGCCTTCTTGGGAAATAAGCAGCTTTTTTATGAGCTCCCACCCACAGAGGCTAAGGGAAGATGCTGCCATTACCCAAAGAGAGACATACGGTGCTATTTCAAGTCCATTTTCAGCAGCACTTTGAAGCTCATTGGGAAGGGTTTCTTCTGTGCTCACATTCTTCATGATTGACAGCACAGGAATTACATGGCACGTAGCAGATCTTTCTCACAGAGGGACCTACTTGCTAGCACAGCTGCTGTCTCTTGAGTATTTTGTTTCTCAAGCAATTTCACACTGAAAGCATTCATAAAAAGTGGGAAGAAGAGC